TAATCCCACTTGTGTTTATCAGCCAGGCTGGCACAATAAACTCTCTCAGCAATCTACTTCCAAAAACCAACCAGTGTAAGTCTTAATGGAGCGCAACTCACGATGAGGGTGCTACAGGCCCGGGTAGTGTTGCATTTCATTGTGCATGGGGTCCCCATAAATTGGGACCAATCTTGACAGAAGCTAACAACAGCAACAATGCCTTTTATCGAAGAAATTAGTGTAAGAAATAGAAAGAAATGGGTAAGATGAAGACACTATGATGTTTGTACTTAAAGACAAAGATCAAGAGAAAGGCAGCTACGTGTTCAAAGGGTTGTGTGGTCGCATTCATACAGGTAGGACCACACTTTGACTGTCAGTCTGGCATAGGAATGTGAGTCCAGACCTGGGGATGAATGGAACACCATACCATGATAGCTTTTTAACAAAGAGAGCCTTCCCTTTATATATTCAACAGACTGGATTTCTACCTCTTGCTTGCTAGGACTTAACTTCTTTCCAAGCCACTCCAATATATTGGCCTGGAGTACTGAGTTATGGATAGACATGTAAACCCTACCTTATCTCTAACTCCTCCTTTTCATCTCTCATCTTTCTCTCGTCTCCCTTAAAAGAGTTAGGTGCAGAATTCATAAAGCCATAAAGAAAAATTTAAAGTTCATCTGAAGGAACACTTGAAACAAAGCCAGAGGTATTTTTTCAGAATATCTACTGATCTCATACATGTTATCAAAATGCAGGATTAGCCCATTTAAACTGATTTCCTGATCATGTGAACATAGTTCATAAGCAGGAATATCTGTTTATGGTAGTATACTGTCTTTGACCTTGTATTCTGTAACTGCCTGCCAAAAGTTTATAGGCCACCAAAGATAAGTAATGGCTGCAAAAGCAGAAGAGCAACTAGGTAGATTTCTCTTTGTTTAATGTTTTCACAAATCTAAAAAGGAACTTGCCCATAATCGTATTAAGAATGAAAACTTTGTTCTTTATCAGGGAAGTCAGGAAGACTGTAGGAAGTCTCCAAAAGAATTGTCTGAGGCTGCAGATTACAGCTCCCTGTCGTCTGAGCTAAGGAAGAGCTACCATGTGGCAGATCTCATACCACATCTGTGGAGTCTGATCTCCACAGTCCCTAAGGATTATCGTTTCTTAGCCATCATTGTGCAATATCGGGAAAATCCTACAAGTTAGGGTTTGAATTAAACCTATAAGAAATAAAGTTAAAAAAAAAAAAGAAAGTCAGTGCTAAGCTTTAGAATGGGCATTGAATTTAGCCTTATTTCATGATTTCTGTCCACAAATTCCTTTTTTTATTGCTAGAAATGCCAGATTTTACAGTCTCGCCCTCTAGTTTAGCCTTACAGTGGGTCTGAGGAAAGGAACCATCAGAACTTGAATGATTTTCAGAGGCAAACTGAGAAATAAACTTTTTGAGTACAGGGACATTTTGAAACATATTCATATGAATTCTACATAGTAGGGAGATAGGAAGCAGAATTAACTGCAAAGCTATAGAGCAGGGGTCCTCACACTTTTTAAACAGGGGCCAGTTCACTGTCCCTCAGACCCGTTGGAAGGCTGGACTATAGTTCAAAAAAAAAAACTATGAACAAATTCCTATGCATACCACGCATATCTTATTTTGAAGTAAAAAAACGAAGGGGGCAAAAACACCCGGCGGGCCAGATAAATGTCCTCGGCAGGCCGCATGTGGGCTGCGGGCGGTAGTTTGAGGAAGCCTGCTATAGAGCTTTCTATGTCAATGTGCTGTTTCCCCTTTATGAGATGGATTGACACAGTATGTTAGCTTTGCTAATATTCTTTGCATTGGGCTGCTAATTGCAAGGTCAGGGGGTTCTAAACCACTGGCTGCTCCTCAGGAGAAAAACTGTTTCGAAACCTCCAGGGGCAGTTCTACCCTGCCCTATAGGGTCACTGTGAGTCGGCATCAACTCGATGGCAGTGGGTTTGGTTTGGGGTTTATTTTACCTCTAAGGGTTCTAATGCCCATTGCAATGGCTGCATAAAAATCACAGGCAAAATTTATGATTAAAGAATTTATTTAGGAACTTAACAAGTTGCAATGCCAGAGGGAAATACTCAGGATAGTTATTTATCAGGATGTTACAAAGTTCTTTCAGGTCTCTAGGAGTCTTGGTGGTGTAATGGTTACTCATTGGGCTGCAATCTCCATGGTTGGCACTTCAAAACCACCAGCAACTTCACAGGAGAAAGACCGGGCTTTCTACTCCTGTACATAGCTACCATCTTGGAAACCCACAGGGGGCGCTGTGAGTCAGCATTGACTCGATAGTAGTGAATTTGGTTTTGGTTTCAGATCTGCCAATAAATGCTCAGGGGGCATACCTCTCAGCTATAAATCTCAACTATAAGGCATTCAGCTCAAGCTCCAAGGGTCAGCAAACCCAGCTCCCCAAATTAAACTCCCAGAGGCACCCTATTCCAGTAAGCCTCAGCCTGAAAGCACTCAGCTTCACGTCCATGGATCAGCAAGCCCAGCTTCCCCACTTAAGTGCCCAGAGTCCCCTCACTCCACAAGCCAGCCTCCTGCATAAAAGCACTCAGCTTTACTTGCTCCTTGGGCTGGGACGTCCACCACTCTGTTCCATGTTCTGACTTCTGGTTCTGCTACTTCCCCTCTAATGTTGTCTCCTGGATCCAAGCGGTTCACTGTGCAAAGATCTCAGGTCTAGAAGACATGCTCTACTCCTGGCACTTGCTGGTATGGTGAGATCCCACCAAGATGACATTGCAGGGAATCTTGTTGACAATTATTCACAGGTGAATCCTATCAGTATCTTCCCAGCGCTTCTTATCAGACCTATTCAAGAAAAGGTCGTTTGGTGAGAGAGACTTTGGGTAGAAGAGCTACATTAAATAATTCACTGCCCTGCACGCAGTGGATGCAAACACAGCAATTGTGAAGATGGCCCAGGACCAGGCAGTGTTTCCTTTCCTTGTGCATAGTCACCAAGAGCCAGAGCCGACTCGATGGCACCTACCCACCACCGCCACCATATTCAGTGTGCTAGAAGAGTGTACAGTTTTCTGATAAATTCCTTTCCTTCACTTCATAAAAAAAAGTTCCATAGAACTGATGCTTGATTTTTTGTTGTTGCTGTTTTTGTAGTCAGTGCCTAGACCATTTCTCTCATATTTCCTTAAAGATCCAGGAAGTTTTCTTGGCCAGAAGGAGCTACTATAAATTGTCCATATGAGTACTGATAGCCTCTTTGTGGGCCTAGTTAGGAGACAGGGAAGATTGAAGTCTTGGAAGTGTTGGCTAGGTTACTGTGTGGGAAAGAGAAAGCTAGTATCTTGATGAATGTCTTCTCCCTCACAGTTCACTCATTGGATTTTCCATTCCCAAGGTCTTTTATCCCATAGTATTTCACTTAATGAGAATAACTACTACTTGGCAGACATTTTGATGCTTTCTGCATATTATTTCATTAAGCCCTTACAGCAGCCCTCCCAAGCTGTATAGACTGGAAACCAAATTCAAAAAGGTTAAATAGGTTTCCCAAGTCATAGAGTTATTATGTAGTCTAATCTGAAATAGAATTCAGATTTCTCTCTCAAGCCCACATTGGCTCCTCCAAATTCTGCCTCCGGTGTGATGAGCAGTGTTATTGGAACATAAAATACAATCAGAGCACTTTCTGAATTCTTTGACAGATGCTGGCTGGGTGAATGGTTTATTTCAATAAATCAAGTAAACCAGAGACAGAACAGCACAGCTCCTGAGAACTGTGAGGCTAAAACATTTTCTTCAGGCTACATGAGATAGCAAACAATATGGCCATGTCTTTAGACTCTGCCTTACCGTTATTTTTACTTTAGTACTTATTTTTATTCTGGGAGAAACTGAGGGTGGGTCTTTTAGATTAAAGATATTTAAAGAAATAGACTAAAGCTAACTGCCGAGTTACTCCATTATCTAATCCAGGGGTCCTCATACTATGGCCCAAGGGCCACATGCAGCCCGCCGAGAACATTTATCCGGGCCGCTGGGTGTTTTTGCCCCATTTTGTTTTTTACTTCAAAATAAGATATGTGCAGTGTGCATAGGAATTTGTTCATAGTTTTTTTTTTAAA